CTTGCGGGTGTCGGGTCTGTTGGGGGCTTCGCTCCCCAGCCTGAAGTTGTGTGACAGTCGGGCGCCTCGGAGTGGGAAGTTGAGGGACTTCAGAGTTGTGCGGGTTTGAAGCGCCGGGTTTCGATCAGAGAGCGGAAGTCGGGATGGTCCGCGGCTCCTCCGGGAAAACGCGCCAAAGTGTGCTTCCCTTTCCTTCAACTTTGGCACAGGACGGGGGAGTGTGTGTGTTTTCGCTCTTAAGGGCTTGGGGGTCTGGTTTGGTTTTCGCCAGCGATGTAGCTCTCCTGATAGTGTTGGTCCAGCGTGGTTTTCGTTTCAAAGTTTTCCAACTGACAGCCATGTAGGAGACTCTTAAGATTTAGTCTTGCTGTTTTCCAAGTCGCTTTAAAAAGTCGTCATGGTGCCTGCGTTCTCAACCTTCTTTTCCGGAAAGTCTTCAAAATCTAGAAGAGTTGGAAGAACTGTTCGAGGGTCCGTCACGGAGCTCATCCTGGGCTCTGCGGTTAACGTTTTTGCTGGATTGTAGTTGCGTGTGTGGAGATGCTTTGAATTTGGGAAACGTTTTTTTACCGTTTGCTGACCACCGCCTAGAAAGACCTATATTGCTTTCGGGTTTTCAGGCTGCATAAACTAATACTAGCATAGACGTGGTTAATAGTCAGCAAAGTTAAGTAAATAAATAGTTGTTGGGGCCAGAAGACCATTACTCGTATAATGTGTTGGGTTCATTCCGTTAGTCATCTGCCCAAGTCTTAGAATATGTGTTCAGAGGGATAAAATAAAACTTTTTAACTTAGTGAAAATAATTAGGTACAGGTGCCTACTAATAAAGCAAGAGTTCACAAAATGTGTTTTTCTGAAGTTACTATGTTGAGTGTTTTGCTGTTCACTGGTGCTATTCTGACATCAAAAGTGAGCATTTAGTCATTGGAATTTTGTGATCTTCATGATTCTCCACATTGTTATATTCCTTGACAAGTAATAACATCAAGAACTTAAAAGAAAACTGAACCTTCTGACTAGACCAAGGTATGAGATCTTAAATTTCACCATAATAATTGTGCCTTATTATTTACCCTGATGAATGCCTCATCCATCTCCAGGTGATGGGTTCAAAACACCTTTTCCTAAGCATCCTTAGCAGCTGAGCACTTAACCATGGCACCACCAGGGCACCTTAATTTCACTTAAAGGGTCACTAA